CGCCGGTACCTCGGACTATTATTGCATCGTCGGGGATGTCAGCGGCTGGACGGCGGTTACTGCAAAAAAAAAGGCATTAGAATTAAGGTTTGCTTGGACTCAACAAGATAGCACCCAATGGTATAAACACCCAAAGCTGCTGCAGTTAACACCTCTAGCGAAATTCTAGTTACGACTAACCACGCAAATGGTCTCCATGCTCGTTCAAGTTCATCCTTCGACGTTACATGCGTTTTCAAGTGTTTCTTGAGATTTCCTTTCAACCTGAATAAAAAGGCTGCCTCACAAGAAATGTCCAGCATACGTTGAAGAAATTGCAGAACAGGACTATGAGAAACAATCGCTTTTTTAAAAAGTTCAAATGATGTGGAAATAAGCTCTTCTTCCTTTCTTGATTTCTCCTTTCCAACATAGTTGTCCTTTTCAATAATATAAAGGACCAAAGCCATCGCATGACCTTGGTTGTCTGTCTCGCATGATTATGCATGCTCCCACGTTTCGTTTGTCGCTACTGATGAGCGACTTGCGGCATTGCTTTGTGCAAAAAGTTATTCAAAGCAATCACAATTGGTCAGTTTGAGATTTTTTACTTTGCTATTTATGAAAAAAGAGAAAAAAAATCAGAAACAGCTGACTCTTGCGTGTCTCAGATGTGCGCTAAGCTATTTTGTACAAATAGTGGCTTCATAGCAAGCCCTCACGCAACTAGGATATAGTTAAATATTATGCGCACGTACATAGAAGAAGAAATAAGACGAAAGTTGACAGAATCGAAACTCATTTGACACGAATGAAAAGACTCATGGCCTATTTAGTCAGATTTCATATGCATTCTGCATGTGTAAGTTCTCTGAAAGCCAACATAAGTCAATTTCAACAATTCGCTGTTGCTGGTAAGCAATAGAAGTTTCTCCTCTGAAAAAAAACTGAATTTCTAAAGACCTTCCCATAATGATCGCATTATGACTGCAAATTTTTTAGCTAGTGAAAATTTTTTTTTCCAAAACTGTTACCTGCATGTTTTGCCACAATATGGACATGAATGAGGTGTGAAACCCGTGTGTACTGAACGATGTTCGAATAAATTTGATTTGAATCGGAACGATTTCCCACAGATATCGCACTGATAGGGCTTTTGATCTGTGTGTATCACGGCATGTTGTTGTAAACCTAAAAAAGAACCTTTTTCATATGTTTTTTTCTATATTTTTATAGCTGAGTACCTTTAAAAGATACGAATATTTTGTTGCAGATATTACACTGATGGACTGCACGTGGCTCCGCCAGCGCACCATCCATACTGACATCAGCCTGAACGATAGCTTTACCAAAAAAAAAACAAATCTCTAGGGAGGGGCAAGTCTATGGAAAAGCGAAGTAATGACAAAGGGTAAGATGATTTTGCACGAAACTTCTTTGCTATAATCTAAGGAAAGTTTAGACTAAAAGGAAAATTGGAGTAGTAAGGCCTAAAAACTTGAACAAACTCAAATATTATCTCTCAACTTCACTATCTGACATCTAAAAAAGGAGAAAAGTCGCCAGATTAAGATTTTCGAATCCAATCAACCACTTGCTCATCCGTTATATGAGATATGGCCAAGGTTCC